TTTGCTTATAATGAAGTTTCTGGACAGCCATCAAAACCAAAACATAAAGTCTCTTTTAGGAATTCCTTTCTGCGTGGGCATTCATTCTGCATTTCTAGGGTGCCAGCCTAAGTATGTAACCGTATGATAGAGCTGTGTGCCTGGAGGTACCTTAGGCTATTTGTGTATAAATAGACAGAAGAAGAAAAGTGGGTTTGAGCCAAATGATGTGGCCTCCTTTCCTCTAACTAGCAGACAAGAGGATCGGGCAGTAGTAACACAACCAAATCCTGAAAAGTGTTTTTGAAATACTTAGTTCTGATAAACCCACAGGCCATGTTCACATTTGGGGTTGAAACATGCTCCCTCCTCACAAATTCTTTTTGGGAATTTACCCAAGAACCAGGCCAGTGTATAATGTACTGTGAATTTGTTATGTAAATGAGAATAATACGTTCAGTGAAGTGGATGAAGCTTTGGACTCAGACACCCAGCTTTGAAACCCGGCTATGTCCCTGCCCAGCTCTGTGTCCTTAGGCAAGGTGAGATTCTAGACACAAATGTACAGAATTTCATTTTGACCTTTGTTAGTTTCTCTTTCTCTCCGGTTTTTGGAGGATCTCTGCTGTGAAGCTGTAGATTCAGTGAAAAAAATAGAGCAACCTGGAATTTACCCTGTATAGTGTTTGAGGCAGCAGTATAATTTGTGTAAAACTGATTTTAGTATTATTCTAGCCAGAAAAGGTAAAAAGCCTACTTCCCTGGTTTTCCTGCAACCCACTGACACCCCCCCCCGAAGTCTCATTGCTGCTTCATCTTTTTTCTCTGACTCCCCAAAATTGGATTGCTCCTGAGCTCAGTCCTAGCTTCTCTTTACTGTGTTCACTTGGTCCCCTGGCTTTAAATATGCAAGTGACTGATACATTCTTATCTCCAGCCCTCAACAAGTCCCTTGACCTCAGACTCACATATCCGACCATCTCCCTGATATCTCCACAGGGATGTTCAATAAGAACCTCAAACTGGACATGGCTACGGTAGACGTGCCTCCTCCTCTGTTCTTTCCCTACCCAGGCTTCCCCAGTGGGAGGCGCGAATGTCATGCCAGCTCATCATTGAGGTGTCTGCTCACCTGCCACCTCGTCAGAGAGGCTGTCTTTGTCCATCGCTTCTAGAATTCTCCCCACTTTTTGACCTGCACCCCCACCCTAGTCCAAGAGAATAGGGATCTTCCCGTTTTTTGTTTACTGCTGTGTTCTCCATGCCTCAGAGGATGTCAGACTCATAATGAGAGCCGAATAAATATTTATTAAGTGAAAGACAGAGTGAATAAATGAATGAGTAAAACGAAGGAAGGAAGCAATTTAACAAAGAATTTTCTGGGGTGTAGGATGAAAGGAATTGGTTACGTTCTGAGGATGCGGTCCCTTCAATTGGTTTTTTGATCTAATTCTTAAATTCTGTAATGAATTTTCTTAAGTGAATTTGGCCTTCAGAGAGGGCTAGAGTAGTTTTAGGGATCTTGAGGAAAAATGTTTACACTTAAGCAGTTTTGGGGTTAAATGGTAGTAGTTATCGATGAAAAGGTACTTACTGAGATTGAGTTCAGAGACCTTAAACACAAAACTCAATGATCATTAAATACTTAGATTTTCAAAGTGCAACGGAATATTAACTATTGCTGCCTAGCTGTCGAAAGCCGTGCAGAAGTCCCCAAACCCTGTTGACAAATGAAAGTGATGGATGGAAATGGGCCCTTTTCAGGCCTGTGGTGTCTGGCTGAGAGGATGTATTACGTGGAGGCCTCTTTGGATCTGACTTCTGAGCGTTAATTTCTTCCACCAGGAGATCACTAAATGACCCCTTCCACCTGCTGCCACCTGAATTTGGACTTTGGTTACATCATTGATTGCTCCTGTTGGATGAATTTTATAGTCAGTCTCAAGGAGAAAGGAGATGGCATTTTGCATCACTGTTTGCAGGGACAATTCACTGCATACAAATTAAACTTCATGCAGCGCCATTTCTCCCCTTTGTAAATTGATGAGTTGGGGAGCCTCATGCTTATGAAACATTGGCTTGCTGTCTTTGGCTGGTATCTAGATTGTGTGAACTTGTGAAATTTTAAAAAGAAAATCCTCACTGGCCGCAACAAGCCTGATGAATAAAGAAGCTACAGTGCCACCTGCTGGCCTTCGGGGGAAATGCAAGTGATGACTAAGAAGCACCTCTTATGCAACAAATAGATCATACATATTCAAAATGCGTGATAATTTGAAGAAAGTAGATAAGAAAAATGAGAAAGTGTAAGCCAGCATTTTACAGAGGAAAATACAATTATATTTGTAATAACCATGTGATGGTGAGAACATAACTTCTGTAGTGTGGGTTTTGCAGTGTTTTTACTGTATTGGATATTCCCATTTGGCAAAACGAGTGAAAAATGGGTTGAAAAAATAAAAATGAGCCTTTGAATTTTTCAAGAGTCATATTGAGACAATCGTAGATACACTTTATGCAGATAGGGAGAGTCGGGGGTATTTTGGAAGGCAGCTGGGCTAGTGATACCTCAGTATAGCTCCTTGCTGGCATCTAACCAGCCCTGGAAACTTGTGCCACTTCTGTAGTTTCCAGAGGCTGTGGTTTCCTGTAAAATTGGGATTGGATTAAATGATGGGCAAAATTCCTTACAACTCAATAAGGTGTATTATTCTAAATCAGCAAAGGACCAAAGAAAAGTAATATTTCTTTAGACCATTTTCCCATGAAAATACTTCGTTTAGAAAAAGTAGAAGACGCGTACATATTTTCAGTTTATGACATAGTTCAGTAGTTTGTCAAGAGCTAGGGATATTTGATGTATTTGATTCTGAGCAATTAGGTCAAGACTTTCCTAGTCCTTTGAGTGAGTATAAAAATAGAGGTGCCGCGTGCCCTGCTGTCCGAGGTCACCTACGGGAAACGTGCTGCCGGGGCTGGTAGATCGCAGCCGGCAGAGGTGCGGTAGGACTGAGCCACAACTAGGGCAGAGTAAAATTTAAAAAACAAAATTTAAGAATCCAAAACTTCATGTAAATATTATTTTGGAAAGACTTCCTGCCTTAATCCCCAGCCGACCAGCCAGCTCCCTGCGCTCCGCTGCCGCGGCCTCCCTCCTGCTGCCGTGGCCCAGCGCCTTCCTTGCCTGTGTTGCTGCTCCTTCTCTTCATCCTCCTCCTTCTTCCTGAACCTCTTCCCTTCCCCTCTCCCCCTTCTCCTTCTGCTCTTGCTTTTCCTTCTTGGCATGTCCTTTGTTCACATTTGTCACCCTCTCTCAATTGTGAGTCCCATTTCATCATGGTCCTCCACGTACCTTACTTACAAAAAACATTCAATTATTTTTGCTGAACGAATTAAACTCTGCAATGGCTATTTCATAGAAGCCTTTTAGTAAGTATGTGTTTAGGTGTTTTCATTTTCTGTGTGGATAGGAGGCAGGAGAGCGCATCCTAGAAGTTAAATCCTGGCACAGCCTGCCGTGTTCACAGCATCCTGCGTGGTGAGGGGAAACACCAGGCTCCAGGTCTCGCTCTTGTCCTCAGCAGCCCAGGCCTTTCCCCTGTTCTTTGCTTTTCCTCGGTCCCCTCTTTGACAGTAGAGGCCTGTCAGGATTTTGTGCTCATCATAAACAGTTCTCTTCTCTCAGATTTGGGGTCTGACTGTGTTGACAGGGCTTAAGCCTTCTAGGCTCATGGTAGCCAGCGGTCAGCCAGCATCGATGCAACTGTCCGCTCACCTGTTCTCACACTAAAGAGTGTTTGACCAGATGCCGCCTCCACCCTCCAACTGGGTGAATGCACACACAGTGGAGATTTGTCTTAATATTGTATTTATTTTTTATTTGTCCTTGTTTGTTTGTTTTGGGGGAGGTAATTAGGTTTATTTATTTACTTATTTATTTTAATGGAGGCACTGGGGATTGAATCCAGGGCCTCGTGCATGCTAAGCAGGAACTCTGCCTCTGAGCTGTACGCTCCTCCCCTTGAGCGTGTGTTCTGCTGCACGTTCCTGCCTCCTGGATCTCCTTGTCAGCAAGCTCTAGGACATTGAACTTGCCCCCTGGGCTCTGGACCCACCTAGTGAAAGACCATGCCCCACCTCTCTTCTTCCCTTTTTGAGAAACTAGTTTTAACTTTCTTTGGGTTCCCTCCTTTCTTCCGTTAAGTGGGTATCTGTCTATAGATTTTTCTGGAGAAATGCTTGATTAGCCGCTTTGGGGCTGTGTTCACATGTTGGGTTATTTGGGTTTGTCTGCATCATCAGTCACGCATTGACAGCCAGGGTCGGTAGGGTGTGTGTGGGCCAACTCTGATGCCCAGACACGTGTTGATGAACTTGGACATGTTTCTAGAAACCTTGAATTATTTGCCATCACTTAAAAATGTGGAGCTCTTATTAAAAAAAAAAATGCAGACGTCTGGCTCCTCTGTGAACATTGGAAGGTCCAGCGAGACAGGTATTGCACTTGCCAGCCGGGCAGCAGGGGGACAGGAGGAGCGCCACCCTGGCTGCTCCCTGTTTGGGCCATCTGATCTCCTATTGCCTGATGTCCACCCACCCCACCTCCTATTTCCCCTCCAGCCACCCCCCTTACCCCTCTGCTGGGTCTGTATTCTCATTCTTACTCACCTTCTCTTTCCCATTTACACAAGAGATTTCTCAATGGCAGTAACTCAACGTGTAGCCAACAGTTTGCAGAAACGGAAGGGCGTTTCAGCGATCACCTAGTGAAGCCTGTTCCCTTCATTTAATACCGGTCTTACCCTGGAGTGAGTCTTTAATAAGTGTTGACAAATGGCACACAAGTGTGTTTCTAGGAAGGCAGCCGATGGCTGGAAAAAGCCGTTGGTAAATCTTCTATAAGAATTTCCCTGGCTCTGCTAAGTTGATTAATGCTGGGCCACTCGTTAGCAGGGTTTTCGGCTCTCACAGGAAGGTAAGGCTCCCTGGTCATCACACTTTTCTTTTTTTTTCTTTTGCAGGAATCCTCTTCATAAGTCAAACTCGGAAGATGGCTCTGTAGGTCAGTACCACTTTTCTTGGTTTTAACCACTCTTAATTAATTTTTTCTTTTAACACTTTATTGAACACATAAATATGTGAAAATAGAAAAACCACGAAGATGCCTTCCACCCAGGAATAAATGTTGTTCAGTTTTTGATGTACAGCTTTCCTCTCTTTTTCTGTATTTGTATGGGGTTTTTTTTTAAAACCCCATGATTTGAATCATATTCTGACTATTATTTCATGGTTTTTCTCAGGTGAGTATGTCTTGAGCTTGTTCCCACATGATTATCTTTTACAGTAAAATTCTTAAGTGTACATAATATTCTGCCATATTGGACACACCATAATTCAATCAACCAACCTCTTTGCCAAACATTTAAGTTGTTAGTGATTTTTTTCCTCTATCACAGAGAAATGGTGCTACCATAAAAAAGTCCTTGAGCCTATCCCTGACTATGGCCTTTGGATAAATCCTTCGATTTGGAACTTCTGAATCAAAGATCATACACAATTAAGGTGTTATAGATTTTATTTCCTTGGTTATAAAATCCACTCGATTTTGTAACATCTTTTCTGTTTGGGTCCGAGAAAGCCTGGCAGTCATCATGATTAGGAGCATAGGTGCTCAGATTGATGTGGATTTGAATCAGGACTCTGCCAGCTTAACAGTCATGACCTTGGGCAAATCACTTGCCTCTCGAAGTCTCAGTTTTCTCCTCCACCAAATGGGAACAGGAAGACATCATATGTTCATCGTGGGTATTCAGTGAGATTTGCCATTAGATACAATGGATATGGTAAGCCTGGGTAAATGTTAGCTCTCACCATTTATTTTTTAAGATGCACTTCCATTTCAGAAACATTAAAATGGGAGAAGGGGGGAGTATAGCTTACAAGAAATACGTTATACCCCCAGATTGCCTGAGAGAAATGTTGAAGCAGCAGCGAGCCTGCTTCTGCTTTATCGTGTCACGATATGTGCTGATATTTGCTGGAGTCTTTAGCTGAGAGGCAGACTCAGGCTGGCGGGCTCCAGCTTCCTTCCAGCTGTCCTGGAGGCTGTCAGAACCT